CGTCTGCAAGTAGTTTATTACACAATCTGCCACTTTATCCTGAGGGTCTGTGGCTTAAGTATTCACTCTAATGTGGCTTAAATGGGTGCAAGTTTGACCTAAGTATGGGTGCCTCTAGAAAGTACTGTGAAGATGTGCATGAATACATACATTGTAGAGAAATTCCAAAGATCTGAGATTTGACTCCTCGTGGGCACTCAGAATTTTCATTCGTCCCGTACTCATGCAAGATGAAAAACATCTTCTCTATTTCTTTACCATGCTCAAAACTTACTATCTTTCTTATTTTATTTAATGCCTACTAAATTAGAGACAAAGGGCCTCTCCCTTTGATCCTGGTTGACCAGGCTGGCCAGTGGTTCCTGAGATCTTGGCACATCCCTAATCCTTTCTTAAATATCTCCATATTTTCATGTGAGCGCGTGGTCTGGCTTGGTTCCAAAGATCTTGGTTCCCAGGAACAGGGCAATAATTTTTTTCCTCATAAACACTTCAGCTCGGCTATTACCAGGATGATTTTTTTTTAACTATGCATGTCACCAATTATATGGTCAAAAATGGTGGCAGTTAGAGAGCAGATTTTGTTCTCCCTCACAATCGAAAAGATTCCATTGGCAGACATATGATCAGTAGCTTGATTGGTTGACCTTTGGGGGGTTGAGCTAGTAAAAATTTCTTGGATCACTTTGATGCCTGTGGCATAGGACCCACAATGGTTTCCATTTTGTTAATGTGCTGGACTCCAGTTTAAGGGGTATTCTGTGTTTAAGCCATGGCAGTGTCCTTTAGTATTGTTCTTAGGGAAGACATTTTACTCTCAAACTGCCCACCTCCATTCACAAGTGCAAATGGTTACTGATAAATAACACCTCCAGATGAGGTGAGAGGAATCTCTAAGATATGATATACTTAAAGTAGCCTTTTATTCGGCTTGCTGTCAGTATGTACTTCATCCTGAATGAGAATCATCGATCGCTGCCCGCGAGATTTGTTTCAGCTTCTTCTACAGTTATGATGAACACTTGCGAAACTTTGTGCGAAGTATTGGTTTGGCGAATAAGTGAAGGATAGTCATTGGTGAAGTTTGCACGAGCGGTTAAAATAAAGGACGTAGTACTGTACTTGAAGGTCGATGTATCCAGCGTGATGTAAAGATTGATAGTAAAATTTTAACTTTGATTAGTTCTCTATAGTGTATGCGTATCTTGTTTATTTATATCTTACAGGACGTGACGAGGAAATCTGAGGAAATGCAACAGGAGTCCCAAGACAAAAGGCATTCACCTCAAAAGCGAGTGGCTGGTACTTACTCCCTTGTCTTATTTTTTAAACATCTGCCTTAAGTGTTATCAAGAGATTTGCATCATTTTTATGTGGAGCAGGTTCAAAATCTTTTAACAAATATTCCATTATTTTTCAGACATTTTTTTAATTTTGAAGAACACAAGTCTTGGACAATATAATGTTATGATTTTGTATGTGAATGATCTAATTGGATTAATTTTCATTTTCTAACAGACTCTACTGAGGATCCAGACCAGTCTGCATCAAATGTAGATTCTTCTCACAAATCTGGAAAGCGACAAAAAGGTGACTTGGTTTAAGAATAATGGAACCTTGTAACTTTACTTTCTTTGGAAAATTTGTGGATATCGTTTATTGTTATTTGTCAACCAGACATCTGTTCCATGGCAATGTTTATCAGTCACATTTATTTAGACACATTTTTCTTTGTGAAGTGACTAGTAGAATAATTTAATATTCATCATTTTTTTGGGCAAAATCTATATCATCATGGGCAATCCATAATTATTATCCAGGAAACCACCCCCCTACCCCCCAGCCACTTGAACTTTTGAAGATCAGTTTGTTCAAATTCCTGCCTGCCAGGGCCAGAATTATGTTCAAATGCCACACCGAAGTGCTGCATTTGACAGTCAAAAGCAAGATTGGCAACTGTAACCTTTTCTTCTGAGCCGTCAGCTTGCAGAAGTGAACTTTTTCCTTTCCTTTAAGCATCTCTGTCATAGTTTACATGTGGTTTTATACATGCATGCATGTGCATTGGTGTCTCATGTAGAACAGGGTGGCTGGAATAAGTTGTTGTTTTACTGCATTGAATCTTGTTGAATCTCATCCATGTGGACTTGATACCACAAAACCTCAGAGTTTATTCTGTTTATATTCTGCATATACCCAACTCATTTTCATCAATTTATGTGCAGTACATTNAAGGTAAGTCTTAAGTGCCGTTTTAAAAGTTGTCAGGGACGAGGCTGACTTAATATGTTCAGGTATAGAGTTCCACAGTTTAGGAGCAGCGAAAACCAGGAAATGTTCATTTCAGTTCGGTAAAGATGGAACTTGAAGCTACCCGAGTGTGTAGCTTTCCTTTTCAGTATGTGTCATACTATTTATAAACATTTCCAGCAGTAGGTGTTTCTGTTTTCTGTAAATTCTACTTTTTAACATCTTCATATGCTATTTAGACTTCAATTTAGTCTTTATTTTCTGAAAAAAAAAATTGTCCGTATTTTTACTCAGTCTGATTTACATATCTATTTAGTTATTCTTTTACAAGTTAGTGTACTTTCTAGCCCTCAGGTTTGACTTTGTTAATTTCATTTGCTTCTGTCGCGCACCTTTCACAATTTCGTACGACAACGGTCTTAAATCAACTAAGAGAAAAGTTTTCAAGAGCTCATGGTAAAGATGGATACTTGGTTTAAAGTTTTTAAACGAAGAGCCGAATAGACAAACTTGATTAAACTTAAATAACTTTCACGCGCGAAGCCGATGAACGTTAACATCGCACGCGACACTTGTGAGGACCTTTAGCTCGAGAGCGAACTGGAACATCTCTCTTTGATATTTATATACTGTAAGCTAGGTCAGATATAACATAATTTCTTACCCCAAAACTCCGTGAAAGGTAAGAGATGATAAAATAGCCGTCAGCTACATTCAAATTCTTCGAGATATTATTAAGTGTATAAACAGGTTAAAAACACTGGAGTTTTTTCTAGAGACTAACAGGTGCTTGTCAATTTTGTAGCAGTTCTGGTCATTTTAAACACCTAATCTTAAGCCTTTAGTGGTCAGCGTTTGATCGCGAGGTCCTCAATTTGACGTTTGGTACCCTTACCTTTCAGAAAAATCTGACATGAAACTGATACACCAGCAAATTTGATCTCTCTCTGTTTTAGTTAAGGCTTAAAGAATGACGTACTATTAAACTCAATTCTCTCACATTCCGTGGCTTGCAATGATGCTGTTCAACATAAGCTTTTCCGCCTCGAAAAATTATACCATAACCTGTCGTAATAGAACTAAAAACTAGTTACAATTATAGTCAAGCGGCCACCTCTCTACAACGACCGCTTTTTTCTGTCTTCAAGGCGGCAGTTGTGTAGAGGTTCAACTGTATGAAAATAGAAACGGGATTGGCATTGTACGTGCGTAAGGCCCTGTTGTTTAACCAGTTCTTTCTGACTCGCGGGGCATGGCGAGGATTTTTCAAAGTTGGGGGGGGGACTTCCCCGTTACGTTTTTCGAAAAGTGAATTTTTCTAAGATAAGGAGTATGTGTGTGTGTTTGGTTTTGAGGGGGATGGTGAGGGACAAGCTTACAAATCTGCTGCATCAGACAAATATCTACCATCAGCGAATATTTTTTTTTTTATGCATGATATTCGGATGCACCCGTTTCCGCCACTTGAATTAGATGGCGTTGTTGTTGTTTACCAGAAAAAATATTTTGTAAGGCGGGGAAGTGGGGTAGTGCAGACAAGCTAACTCGTACCCCTATCCTACCGAGTAACCGAAATGTGGGCTTGGCCGTTGAAGGCCTGCTGGATACCGAAACTAGGGTAGAACATCGTAGCGCGAAATTTTGTTCGGAAGGAACTCGTCAGATTTTTCTTTGTAACACGCAGTGTTTGTGACAGAACTTCTGTCTCATCCTGCTTCTTGTTGCTCCACTTAATTTCGGAACTGCTCCTAGAATACTTGCATAATTTAAGCATTTTTTCCCGCCTTCTCTATGATGCTAGTGTCTCATGGGATAGCGTTCTTCCGGGTTTGCTATTACGTTACCAGTCAGTAGTTCAACAAATATGTTGTCACGATATCATGGAATTTTCCCGTGAGATATGTGATAAAGTGACTTGATTTTCACATCTCAAAAAGTTATGAAAGATCGCTGAAAAGTTTCTTTAATTTATGACATATTTTACTTAGCTTCCTATTTGACTCTGTTACGATCGTCGATGGAGCCTTCACTTCGAAAAGTATTGTTTCCAATCGCCAGCCCGGCGTAAGATTCCTCTTAAATCCTTTTTATGACACGCTCGTATTATAGAACTTTGTAAATAAGTGTAAGGTAGGCATATAAGTGAAAGAGCTTTGTCGTTTGTTCGAAGCTGTGGATTGATTTCGAAAATGAGAAAATACGGGGACAAACATTCGGCACTTTCGAAGACATTTGATTAGATTTAAGCAATTGTGAACAGCCGCTCACCAATGCATAAATCATTGCATAAATCATAAATCTTTTGATACTCTGTGGCGATATCATGTAATTTCCACGAGAGATGTGCGATCAAGTGAGTTGATTTTCACCTCTCAATAAAGATTGCTGAAAAGTTTCTTAAATTTAAGACGTATTTTACTTAGCTTCTTATTTGACCCTGTTACGATCATCGATGGAGCCTTCACGGTCTTCACGTGCACTTCGAAATTTTTTCCAATCACCAGCCCGGCGTAAGATTCCTCTTAAATCCTTTTTATGGCACGCTTGTATTATAGAACTTTGTAAATGAGTATAGGGTAGCCATATTTACGGTGGCCCAGAAGGCTCAACGCAAACAAAAAATATACTGCAGCAAATAAAAAATATACTGCAGCAACTAAAAAAATATGCTATATTTGTAAATATAGAGTTTGAGCCAAAAGGTCAGAAGTGCCCCGTTCAAATCAACATCAACAATATATATAGGTGCAAAAATCAGTATTAAAAAATATGAATTATCTTACTACCCCATTATATCCTTTCTTTCTCTTTTCTTTATCAAAAACTCTCATCCAACGTACATTATAACTGTAAGATTTTTCCAGAGAAGTAAATGAGAATTCATTCCAAGTAAAACAAATATAAGTGAAACTAAATACATCTACCCTGAAATGCTGCATTCACTTTTGCCTGACAGAACGCCACTGTTCTCGGGACAGTTACTTACTYTCACTGACAACTTTTAGACCTGCAATATAGCTCAGTCAGCTTAAACAAGTGAAGTCGCCTCTAAATTTTACATAACACGCAGTGTCATCCTCAGGGATTACATTTCTCGCGTCAACCTTCGAAAGGCTTTACGAAATCATTTCTCTTGTAGTACAACACAATAAGTTGGATAAATGCAGAGCGTCAGTGCAGTGTAGTTTGTTGCCACTTATCTCTTTGGCACTCCTCTCTGCAACATTTCAAAAATCCCTTTCGAGTATTGTCAAAATTCATCGTCGGCGGAACAAACCAATACAGTTCCACATATCTCAAAAGTTATTGCGCTTTCAAACGTCTTAAAAAGAGAGGCTAAATGCAAGAGCTCGCCTTTTTTTCTTACTGACTGGGAACGAACGTGAAGGTTCAAGCTTATCAATTTCTCTCGAATTGTTGTCATGTGCATACTATCATCCAAACACACCTATGGACCAATGAGAGTGAACAAACAATCTTACTTATCTAAATAAAATACGATGATGCTCAGTTTTTTGTTGTGCTTTCTGTATGCACGATGAATTGTGTACATTATGGCATACCATCTCCAACCTGGAGCCGGGGGCTTAACTAACTAACTAACTGGCATACCATCATTTCTGACTTACTGTATTTCCTTCGAAAGCCACCAACTCTAAGGCCATGATACTAAACAAACGTCCTCCTTAAATAAGTGTCTCCTCTCTGACTTTCTCAATTGGTCTAGAAAAAGAAGGAAAACCTGTTTCTTTTTCCACTGCACTGACATCTTTTTAAGCTCCAACTACAGCTCACTCAAAACAGTTGAAAAATAAATAACAAGTGCCCTCGATCCTTCTATTAAGAGCTCCTTGAAATTTAAACAAGTGCGTGGCCGCTTAACCCTTAACTTTCATGAGTGACCACGACAAAATTTCCCCTTACAATAGCAATACAAAGTCAAGCAGGCAAGTGAAGAGAGTAAAGGAAGAAGTATTAGTTGATCCAAAAGCAAATTCTCCAAACTTACATCATATATAAGAATTGGGTAGCAGATGGTAAGAATAATTACTGAGAAGATCTTGGGATTGAAAGGCTTATTCGAGGAAATACCGTATTTGGACAACACTGAAAACAAGAACCGTTACAAAAACACACCTAGACGTCATGTACTAAAACCAGGAACACCGGAACACCGTAACACCCGGGAACACCGGAACACCCCGGAACACCGGAACACCCCCGGAAAATCGAATTTGACGGTGTAAAATAATTAAATGTAGATGTAATTTGTATACGCACGTAACACGAAAGAGCTTAGAAGCAGGCGCTGAATATATAGTTTCATAATGTTTCTTATCTTATTTCTTTGTGGTATAAATAAATGTTGTTGTTGTTGACGTTCTAGCTTTTAAAGAGACAATTAACTTTTTTCCAATTACAAGCCCCTATTGTTAGGCGTTTTTACTGTTTAAGAAGCCAAAGGGGACGTTGAACAATGCATAGTTTGAAACTAATAGTTACGTACTGGCCGGTTACAAGTTATCGGCATGTATTAAAACCAGGAACACCGCAACACCGCAACACCGGAACACCGAAACACCGTAACACCGAAACACCCCGGAACACCGTAACACCGGAACAACCCGGAACATCATAAAGCCCCGCAACACCGTAACACCCC